CCTTAACCACCATGCCACTGATGGCCCCAAGATTTCTGTTCTGAGCATGTTATTCTGAGATGCCAAAAGACAGGCTGAGGTACCCAAGAAGCAAATTTACCTCAAAATGTCAATTAAAATATCATTTGGAATATAGATTAAAAGTGTAACAGCTAACTGTAGCATTTCTAGGAAATACTAACTCACGGACTTTAAAGACTTAAGTTTATGGAGAAAGCAACACATGTGCCGATTCAGAGTTTGCAAACAAAAATGGTATAAAATAATAATGTAAACTCTATTTCCAACCACACTCTTGGGCTTTTTGTTTCCATTTTAAGTTTAGATGGTGTGTTTAGAAAATAAGCCATTTTCTCTAACACATACTTGGTTTTAGAGTTGAAATTTAAATTTTTTAGTTTAAACCAAAGCATTCAAGGATTCTGAAAGCACTAAAAATGAAAGTACTCATTTTGGTCAAACCTACAAAATTAGAGTAACCATATTTGTGGTAATTCACATAATTACCACAAAAAAGAGGCAGTTTTCCCTCCTCAGACCCCGTGGGGAGACTACATGCCTTGGTTTCCCTGTGGTTGGAAACAGTGGGAGGAGGAGCTGTGATGAACCACAGTCCAGAGGCATCAGCATACACGACCCACGGGCTGAGCATGGGCCTAATCACTGTGTGGGATCCTTCAGGGTTGCCCCTTCGCTTGGCCGGAGCAGCCAGGAACAACCGAGATGGCATGGCGGCTGCCAGGATCCCTGAGTGATCAGTGAGACCCCACCCTTCTGCCAACTATGGACGGCCAAGAACAAAAACGAAATTAACTTTGTGACTCAAACGATGGAGATGTGGGTTACTGCGTCATAATCAAGCCCATCCTGAAAGTGTTGTTTGTCATGGTTTATGATCCAGAATAGACAAAGGGACTTCAAAAAGTACTTGAAAAGATGGAACTGAGGAACAAACTTGTTTTGGTGCAAAAAAAAAAAAACCAAAAGAAGTTAAAACTGGGACCAGCAATGGCATAGTGGTTACATCACCGGAGTCCCACCTAGTCGACCAAGGTTCCAGTTCTGGACTCAGTGGCTTAAAACACAAGCCGGGCACATGTGTGTGTGTGCCCAAGATCCTGGGAGGAGAATGGAGGAGAAGGAACTGGGGTGTGGTATCCCCCTAGGGGATGAGTTCTCGCTTTGTTTCTCTGTCTCTCCAGAGAGGATGTGTACCCTATAGCAAAAATCTCTCTTAAAAAAGAAAAAAAAAAAAAAAACCCTGAAATTGATGAGTCTTTTTTTTTTCCATATACACATTTTCTGTGAGTTTAAGACCCCTTATATATATCCTAAGAAGGTAGAATTCAGTGGAAATGTCAGCAAAGGTAAGAATAGGGTTGGATCACCCTTTTCAGGAGAAGCAAAGTGGACAAAGGATCCAAATAGAAATAGAGCCAAAGCATTGGACAAAGCACTGTTCTATTTATTAACTGTCTATTATTTCCAACTAAAGTACTAACTGTGCACATATATCTATTATGTACTGACCATCTGAAAGTCTAAGATAGGTAAAGGACCCTGCCATGTGATGTTTAGGCTGCCATGTGATGACAGAGCTCTCAACTGTTATTTCAGTTTTCTTCTACTTTACTGGGAAGTTTTCAAATTCTAATTTCCTGGGAACCAGCAGTTAGCGTAATGGCTATGTCATTGGACTCCCACGTAGTCGACCGCGGTTTGCGTCCCGGACCCGGTGGCTTAGAACTCACACCGGGCGCGTGTGTGCGCATGCCCAAGATCCCAAGAGGAGAATAGAGGAGAAGGGATTGCGGCGTGGCCATCCCCCCTGGGGGGTGATTTCTCACTTTCTGTCTCTCTCTGTCTGGCGAGTACATGCACCCTATAGCTAAAACCTCTCCCCCCGCAAAAAAAAAAAAAAAGAATGTAAATTCTACTAATTTCCTTTAAAATCAACAAGATTGTGGGCACAATCTTGATTTGGCATCTAACTCTGATGACTCAGTCTACCTTCAGTTGTAACAAAATCTATGTTCCTTTTTAAGTATTTCTTGCTAGTCAGCTGTGGCTATGCTATCCTGTTTCCTTATGATTTGACTTCAGCCATTTATTCCTCATTTCTTTCTCTCTATCCCACGACAATACGTTTTCTTCTGCTGCTTTCTTGTACCTCCCCTGGCTTCGTCTTTCTCTTCCCTTGTAAATTATCTGCTGGAGAACCTGTAAGGCTCAACGGTAGTCGCAAGGCGATTGTGATCATCCATACCTGTGTCTTTGCCAACTACTTACTTGCAAACAAGAACTCCAAAACTTAAATCTAACTTAGTTCTCTCCTTTGAGTCCCATATTAAATATCCAAAGTTCTGGCTGACATCTCCACTGCATTATCTCAACAGCACTTCCAAACTTATCACATCCAAACTTCATTTCTACTCTCTTGCAAACCAGTACTGCAAAACGTCTCCTCCAGTCCCCACCTCAGTGATTCGCACTCACCACTTATCTGGTTGCTCGATCAAGAGCCCTAGGACTTATCCTTGGCCATTCCCTCGATCTGAGCCCACAAATCTATCACTACGTCCAACCTGATGTGTTCCCAGTTATTCCAAACTACTTGTAACTCTGTCTTTTCTCCATCCCTATTACCAACCACAACACCTAGTTTAAGTTCATCCTCCCTCAAGTGGTACAGAAATAGTCTTTTATCTGGTCTTTCACATCTAGTCTCTTCCCACATCCTCAGTTATTCTTACTATTGCTGGAAATGTGCTCTTTGCAAAACTTAAATCTTATCAAGTCATCCTTAATATGTCCTGTTGAAAACTCTTCAGTGGCTTCCTTCTGCTCTTAGGATAAAAACCAAAATGTTATAGTCTGAAGACCTTACATGTCTGGCCCTTCCATCAGTAGTCTCATCTTATTCCATACTTCCCATCACTCTACACCTTAATGACAGTGAACCACCTTCATTTATATTCCATGCTCCCTTCCCATCTAAGGTTTTTGTGTTCTTCTCATTTGCTGGAATATTCTCTACCCCACAGTGGTGGGGGTAGGGGGGAAAAACAGTCCTTTAATGATGACCCTACCCTAACTCCTGGAACCTGTGAATGTTACCTTACATGGCAACAGGGAATATGCAGGTATGATTAAGGGCCTCAAGGCAGGAGGATCATCCTGGATTACCCAATGGACCCAATGTAATCACAAGGGGCTCTATGAGCGGAAGGCAGGAGGGTCAGAGAGAAGGAGCTATAACAACAGAAGCAGAGGGCACAGGCAGAGGACCGGAGGGACTGCGCTTTGAAGATGAAAGAAGGGGCTGCTCATCACAAGATGAATGAAGGTGGCCTGCAGAAGCTGGCAAGGCTAGAAATGGGTTTCCCCTCAGTATTTCAGAGAGGCACAAACACTTGGTGACACCTTGATCTTACAGCTTCTGTCCTCCAAAACTGTAAAATAACAAATTTGTACTCTTAAGTCATTGAGTTTGTGGTAATTTGTTATAGAAGCATTAGGAAAGTAATACTTTCATCCTCATTAGAAACCTATATATTCTACTGGTCTCAGGTCAAATGTATTTTTTATTTTTCTTTTTGTTATTGCTTACATTTTTGGAATAGGACATGTGCATTCTCAGGAGAGTGAGAGAGAGTAATGGCGAGGGGCGGGAGACATGGGAGAGTGAGAAATCAGCTCCCAGGGGGCATTGTCATGCCACAGTCCCTTCTCCTCTCAGAATTTTGGGCACACACACACTCAACACTTGCCCAGTGACATTTTTAAACTGTCAAAACTAGGACTCAAATCATAAAGTCAGCCATATGGGAATCCAGTCACCTTAACTCCAGCCACTTACTGGCTCCTTAAATAACTTTTAAAAGACTTTCACTTTCCTTCCATTTGACATTCTGGTCAATAAAGAGATAGTCTAAACCAACAAACCCACAATTAGGTAAGACACCTTACCTAAAAAGTGATTACAAAAAGGAAGGATACAGTGTCAGCTTCAGAAATTACTTTAATATTAATGTTCTAATGAAAATAATTTCGAGTACCCTATGCACCTTGTTAATCCAGCACCTGCTACGTGTCTGGCCTCAATAAATATTTCTTAAGTCAAAAGACGGGAGTTAGTCTGAACATAATATTTTAAGAGTTATCAACTCCTTGATAATATGGTATATTCTTTTACATTAAAAAGAAAGATGCCAGTATTAAAACAAGATGAATGCAAAAGCTTATACTTAAAGATCAAATAATATGTGGCAAAGAAAAAAAAAGACAGCAAAATACTTAAAATTCCAATTGAATCAAAAGCAGACTAAATCAGCTTCTTAAAAACATTAACATAAAAATTAATTTCGGTACCAATGATATGATCATTTGTCATTTGTTAAAGAACGAAATAATATTTTGGTCTCTGCATCTTAAAATCTACAAGCAAAAAAGAGTCATGAAGTCAAAATGGAAAAATAAAAATTTTTAAAGAGTGGTATATAGATCCAATAAGGCAATGCAAAAAACCTGCTGGCTCTGACACAGGAAGGGCAAAAAACACTACAAACAACTTTTTGGGGTGTATTGGAACAAAGGAGCAAAGTGAAGTTTTCCTATGATACGACTTCTACTTACATTTCTGTAAGAAAAAGTAGGGCAGACATAAGAAAATCCTTCTTGGCATAACTATAAGATACAGGAAAAATAAGGCTACCTCTCTACCTCCAGAATTTTTAAAACAGAAAAATAACAAAGGTTTAAGCATTTGTCGGCCTGGGGTTAGGGCCTGAACTAGATTTCTTACAATCATTTTTCAGCAATATTACTCTGATCTATAGGAAAAATGTCCAACTCTACATGGAGTTTAGCTTAAGTTCCAAGTTACTGTCCACAAAAAAAAAAAAAATTGTTTGTTTTTAATTTCCAATGGTCAACTCAAGACTCCAAGACACAACTGAAACCCACTAGTACACCCACACTGAGAAACAAAATAAACATACCTCCTGTTCTTCCATTGCCAATCTGCACAGCAGGTTGAAGGCTTCCTTCATTTTGCAATAAATGAGGCAAATGATAATAAATACTTGGCACCTGAAGAGATTTTTTGCTTGTTAACTCCTTTAATAGCTTTAGGGTGTTATCTGAAACACAGAAGTATAATTAATCCACAGGAATACCTTAATTTATAAAGGTAGCTAATTTTATAAAAATAGCAATAAAAACTTATGAGAACTGGAACTAAATCATTTTCTTTACTGATTGCCGACTTTGCTGAATGAGATTGCCACTGAAAAGAAAAAGAAAACTTTTGCAACCGGAGTCTTACAGAGAGCCCTGGTGTTGATAAAACAGGCTGAATGAAGCCAAGGTCAGCCAAAGAACCACGAGAGGGTGGAACACAAACCACTCACCTTCGGAACGTGTCAGAACTCAAGCTTACCAAACACTCTACATATGCTACCCACTAATGAAATGGGATAATAAGCACACTGACCACCAATAACTTGCACTTTCTTTATGCAGTTGATCAAAATTTCACATGGACTTTTTTTTTTTAATTCAAGTAAAATTGTTTAAACAGAACAAGTTGAAAATGTTCAGTACAGATCATAACTTCCCTTTTTTGTATTTATTTGTTCTTTTTTAAATTTGCTATAGGGCACATGTGCTCATCAGAAATAGAGACAGAGGAGACAGTAAGAAAGCAAACTGTCAGTTCTGAGACTTGAACCGCAGTCAGCCATGTGGGAGTCCAGTGCCTTAATCATCATGCCATCTTCTGGTCCTGACAGATCATGACTCTCTAAGTTTCCATTTTGATTAGAGGAACCAATGAAATCCTTTATTATGAAATGAAATTAAAACTTGGTAGCACTAGTAATACTATTTTAAAATTTAAAAGTTTAACCTTTTTTTTTTTTTTTTGGCTATAGGGCGCATGTGCTCACCAGAGAGAGAGACAGAGAGAGACAGAAAGCAAGAAATCACCCCTCGAGGGGATGGCCATGCCACCATCCCTTCTCCTCCATTCTCCTCTCGGGATCTTGGGCACGCACGCACACGTGCCTGGCGTGAGTTTTAAGCTACTGGGTCCGGAATGTAAACCGCGGTCGACTACGTGGGAGTCCAGTGACATAGCCATTACGCTAACTGCTGGTCCCAAAAAGTTTAACCTTTTAAATAAGGAAATGAATAGTTAGAATTTAAAGCCTCAGCTCCATCAAAAATATGTCAAGAATGGGCCACCAGGTGGTATGGTGGTTAAGGCCCTGGGCACTCACATGGCAGACTGTAGTTCAAATCCTGGACCTAGAGGCTTAAAACTCATGCTAGGCACATGTGCGTGCGTGCATGCCCAAAATCCTATGAGGACAATGGAGGAGAAGGGACTGCAGTGTGGCCATCCTCTGTTAAGGGAGTGATTTCACACTTCTTTTTGCTGTCTCTCTAAGGCAAGCACATGCACCCAATGTCAGAAAGAAAGACAAAAAGATATGAAAAGGACAAAAGGTGACCCCAAAAATGCAAATGACTGTTCTACATGAAATTAAAGTTTAATCTCATGAGTAAAGAAACAATGGTAAATTATAACACACCAATTTCTATCTATCAAATTAACAGGTTAAATAATAGCATTAAATATTAGAGATAACATGATAAATGTTTTAGGTTTTCAGAGCAGCATTAAAAAGAAATTAAAATATTTGTCTCATTAGTAATTCCCTTTTAAGAATTTAGATTTTATGCATTTAACACATATTTTGTAACAGTAACATTAAAAAGTATAAAATGTACAAATTAAAAAATAAATATTTTTAATGTTACTGTGATAAATTTTCTAGAAGGAAGATAAGGAAGGAACATGAAACTTTAAAATAAGGTAAGGTAGTGGATCTGAATAATTTTTTTTTTTTTTTGTAAGAATAGGTAGAGCTAAATGAAAAAGTAAGGGAGCAGCCTATGGCCTAGTGGTTAAGGCAGCTGGATCTTACATGGCTAATTGTATAGTATGAGTCCTGAACCCAGCAGTTTGAAAAACACAACAGGCATATGTGCATGAATGCCCCAAATCCTGAAAGAAATGAGAAATGGAGGGGCTGGCAGGTGGCATGGTGGTTAAGGCAACTAGACTTCCACATGGCTGACTGCAGTACAAGTCCTGAACCTGGTAGCTTGCTTTCTCATTTTCCTTCTCTCTGTCTTTGGTCAACTTCAAAAAAGTAAAATAAAATAATGACTATGAGTAATTTTAAAATAATTCTTTAAGAAAAAAAAAAAGGAAATAGAACTGGAGGAGAAAGGATTGTGGCATGACCATGGTTCATGGGGAATGCTTTCCTAACTTTCCTTTCTCTCTGGTTAGCACATGCACTCTATGGTAAATAAAAAAAAAAAAGTATGTTGGTCTAGAAAGATGATGCAAATTGAGAGGTAACTGAGTATCTATATCTTTATCTATATCTCTACCTATCTATCTATACATATAAATATATATCAATAGTATCAAAAAAAGAAGAACACAGAAACAGAGAACAGCTAATTGGCATTTATCAGAGATTCTCAAAGAATGGGTCAGATACTTCCCAAAGTATCCATTGTTTTTTAAAACCATGTGTCTTCTTTATTAGAAATCTAATTTAAGAAAACTAATCACCTCAAATAGCTCAAAGATTTCTCCAGAGTCTATCTGAAGTCCATACAATAAGTCACAACGTAAACATGCATAAAACACAGGTGAATTTTATCTCATTTTGAATGTTTTATAAGACATAGGTTCTTCACTATTATCAAATTTATGCAAATGAAATTTATCTTAAAATTACTCTTAAATCAAATTTAGTAAGGAATACAAATTCTTTAATGATTTACCAGAATAAGAATGTTTTCAGGTGCGATTTCCCTCTGAAAAGGGTAACAAAAGCTGGCTAGAAGCAATCGTACACAACTTTCAGAGAAAATGTTTCCCATAGCCCCCTGAAGACACCGTCTTTCTATAATACAAAAATTAGCTTGTACCTGAAAATTTAGCCAATGTATCTTTACTTGCATTTGTTTCTGCTCCCACACGCCTGAACTGCTGCACAATGGTATTCAATTCAGAAGAGCGCTGTGAGATTCTATGTTCTGCTATTCGAAGACGTTCTTTCAAAGCAAGAAATTCTCGTTGATAAGCGATTAGTTTTTCTGGAAGCAAAGCCAAGAAAGTTATTAGTATATTTTTTAAAAACAAACAACTCAATTCAAACAGAGCTGTAAGATTAGAAATGTTAATTATAAGTCAAAATTTTCAGGAGAAAATGTTTGTTCTTGGACCAGGTGGTGGTTTGGCGGTTCCTTGTAGGAAAGGCTCTGGGCTCACAACTTAAGACCTCCTTAAGCATGTTCAACATGTGCATTGGCATGTGTGCCCATGATGTGGCCTGGTTTTGAGTGGACCGCAATATGAACATCTGGCTGAGGGTGCTTACTATCTCGAGATCTCTTTGTCTCTCCCATGGGGAAAAAAATAAATATTAAACAAGAAAATATTCATTCATTGATATGGAACTGAAACTTAAAAAGAGCCCTGAAGTGTTACGTAACAAAGCAACCACTTAACTTAATGCTATTATTACTTGCAAGAATATGAGCAGACTCTGTACTTCAGAAATCTAAAGATGGAGAGAAAAAAAAATCAAGTTTTTTTGAATTAGTACTTCAAACATAATACTAACATCATTTCTCAAAAGGTCCAAACAACTGGTGGGTCAACCTATGCCATGGTGATTAAGGCAGCTGGGTCCTGCATGGCCAACCACGTGGTTCGAGTTCTAGACCCAGTGGCTTGAAAAACATACTAGGTGCGTGTGTGCATTTCCAAATCCCAAAAGGAGGGAGAGATAGACAAGGGATTTCAGTATGACCATTTCCCATGAGAGGTGCTTTTTCACACCCTACCCTTCCTCTGCCTGTCTCTCTGAGGCCAGCATACCTGCCCTCTGGCAGGTTAAAAGAAAAAGAAAAAAAAAGAAAAAAAAAAAAACAGAGAGGGACCAGTAGTTGGTGTAATGGCTATGTCACTGGACTCCCATGTAGTCAACGGTTGTTCAAGTCCCAGACCCGATGGCTTAAACTCACGCCGGGCGCGTGTGCGTGCGTGCCCAAGATCCTGAGAGGAGAATGGAGGAGAAGGGATTGTGGCGTGGCCATCCCCACTGGGGGGTGATTTCTCGCTTTTTGTCTCTATGTTTCTGGCAAGTGCATGCACCCTATAGCAAAAAACTCTTCAAACAAACAAACAAAAATCATATTTGTAACAACCAGGTAAAGAATGAGGCAAAATGGTAATAACACAAAGTATCTTCAAAAGGTTGATGGAAAATACACATGAAGAAAAAATTATATATGAGTTTCAAAATTTTATATAAAAATAAACTCGTACTTTAATTCCATTTCTCGACAAACTTTTTGAAATATTTATGTATGTGCTCATATATAACATAATGCATAACACATTTTATAATAATCATTAATTTTACAGTGTACATGCATAGAACATATTTTATAAGAAGGGAGCAGGCCTCGGAAGACACCTTCATGGCTACTGGAAACTAGTGATTTCAGGGAAATAGCAGAAATGAAGATTTTTCCACTGATAATTCAGCCTCCAGCCCACAAACTCGAGTGGTAGGAAGATTTTCAAGCCTCCTGTCTTTGTCTCTGTCTTTGTCTTTCTCTACCTCTGTCTCTGTCTTCTCATTTTTTTGTAATATTTCCTTTTAAAAAATTTTTTAAGGTAAAGTAGTTTCTTGGCTTTCAGCCCCTCCTTTCCCTTTATCTTGTTAATAATCCCTTCTCCCCCTCCCAACCCAGGAGAGGCAAGGGAGCAGGCCTCAGAAGACACCCTCATGTCTACTGAGAACTAGTGATTTCTCACTAGTGATTGCTCACAGCACGGTTTTCTAATTTTTGCTTTTTTTAAAAAAAAATTTTTTTTTTAGTTTTTTTTTTTTTCTTCTTCTGTTTTTCTCTGTTTCTTGGTTATTTTTGTTGCTGTTGTTTCTCTCTGTGTGTTTCCTTTTCAGGAGAAAATGTTCCTGGATGCTCAGATTGAACTTCAAGTTTGGGAAGAAACACACTTTCCATCAGATGACTAGAAATTACCACAGGACCACAAGAAATATGGGAAAGCAAGAAAATACCTCTCCTCCAAGGGAAAAGAATAACTCCTCTTCATCCACAGACAGTTCAATGGAAATCATGGAAATGTCTGATAAAGAATTTAGAAAATTCATAATGGTGAAGCTAACAGAGATGGAGGAGAAGAGAGACAATGAACTGCTCAAGAGAAAGGAGAAAGAAGTTGAGGAGCTCCAGGAAGTGAGGAAATTCTTGCAAGATCTAAGAGAGGAATTACACACTTTAAAGAAGAATCAAACGGAACTGTTAGAGATGAAGTCTAAAATACAGGAAGTCAAAATCTCCCTTGAAAGTATTAAAAGCAGACTGGATCATACAGAAAATAGAATCTCAGACGTAGAAGAGAAAATTGCTGGCCTAGAAAAATCCACCATGAAGACTGAGAAAATGGCCCAAAAAATTGAGAATATACGAGAAGTACTAGATACCATCAAATGTCCAAACATTTAGATAACTGGCATCCCAGAAAGCGAAGAGACTCATAAGGGCATTGATAATCTCTTTCATGAAATCCTGCAAGAAAACTTTCCAAACCTAGAAAGACACTCAAAGATCCAGTCCCAAGAAATACAAAGGCCCCCAAATAGAATCAACCCAATATGATCTTCTCCGAGACACATTACAGCCAGACTGACCAAAACCACAAAGACAAGATACTAAGATGGCAAGAGAGAAACAGCAAGTTACCTACAAAGGATATTCCATCAGACTAACAGCAGACCTCTCATCAGAAACAATGCGAGTGAGGAAAGAATGGGAAAATATATTCGAAGTGTTAAGGGAAAAGCAATTTCAACCGAGAATACTGTACCCA